TGATTATCTTTTTTTATTTTTTAACAGTTTTTTGTTTGCATAGGAATTAGTTGATTAGACCGAAAAGAAGCTTGAAGCAGATCAATGAAGCAGAAATAGAAGGAGGTCAAATGCAGGTCTGAAGAAGGTAAAATTCAGGTCCGTAGGAGGTCAAATTCAGACCAAATGCACCTCTGAATGATCTCAGAAGCATCATAAACTGGCCTAAAATGCAAGCTTATTGTATCTTAATGCATACAGAATTTGTTGATTGACACAGGCCCATATGTGTGCTCTGCGCACAATTTTTTTATTCTCTAGTATTGGTATAAAAAATTATCGTTAATATATATTTTTGGGAAACAGTTCACCTTTACCTTTTTGGTCCTTCAACATCCCGCTGGCACAGCCATTATGCAAACATAGTTAAGTACATCAATCTCTGCCTGCAACAGTTACAATAGTGTTTACCAGAAATGACTCCATGTGTAACCTGAATTTGGGGTGTAGCAAAAACAGTTTGGGAGAGTGTTAATTCCAATAGTGACCAATAATTTTTAAACTTTCCGTAATAGATGTGTTTCACACATTTCGTTTTGACAATATGCAGGCCGCATTTGCTTTTATCCACCACACATTACTGTAATAGCTCTAAATAAAATCTCATCGTAGGTGTAAAGTAACACTTTTCTATCAGGAAAATAAAACAAAAAATCAACCCACACTGAAAGTCTATAAAGGAAAGCAATTTAATAAGCTATTATCTAGGTAGATGTGAGTGTAAATCTTAAGTGGTAAGAAGATGTAATAAAAGAATGGAGATGAGGCATAATTCACCTGTATCAAAATGGCTTGTATATGTCAGAGATGCTTGATTGAAAAATGAGCACAATTACTAGATGGATATAAAATATATCTGGGAAGGTAATTGTTACATTCTACATTTATGGCTCAAGGCAGAAAAGCATTTTGGTACTTGGGAAAAAAAGAGAAAAGTGTCCAAATGAATAATTCTGTTGATAAAACTTGCTAATATTCTCTCCTAGGAGTTAAGAATAAATAGAGCCTTAGATGTTATTTTTATCTTCTTTTACCAGATGTAGTAACATAGGGCTCCTGCATGTAGTTGTATCAATGTTCAGTTCAGCCATTTCCATACGTGACTTTTTTTATTTTTATTTATTACAAGTAGTTATATAGCGCCGTCAATTTACACAGTGCTTTACATATATTGTACATTCGCATCAGTTCCTAACCCTCAGTGAGCATACAATCTAAGGTCCCTAACTCACATTCATACATACACACACTAGGAGTAATTTAGACAGGAGCCAATTAATCTACCAGCATGTCTTTGGAGTTTGGAAGGAAACCGAAGTACCCGGAGGAAACCCACGCAGGCACAGAGAGTACATGCAAACTGCAGGCAGGTGGTGCAGTAGTTAGGATACAAACCAATGACCCTAGTACTGCCAGGCAGAAGTGCTAACCAATGTGCTTAGAGGTCAAGCTAACAAGCTTTAGGTTCCATACCAAACAAACTCGCTCAGCTAGCAATGCACTAGGATTGTAGTGAATGATGGTGGGAATGAAACTTGTGGTGCTGAGATGTCGAAGCTATCTTTTAGAGCAGGATGATTAGTCTTTGGCACAAGAGAACCTGGCACACAAGGGGAGAGTATGCAATATGTTTGTATAAGGGAGTGTTAACTTGAGGGTTAAATTAGTGTGACGGTTATGAGATGGGTCATTGTGATAGCTGGAGTTACATGGGGAGATATTATAAGGAATGACTTCAGGTTAGCCATTGCTCTCAGCTCTCAGTGTTGAAAAATACTACTGCTGAACTTCTGTCCCTGAGACTTAGGGTCCATTCCCACCACCCACATTACAGTAACACAGGGTAAATGTGGATATCCATGTGTTAGTACATTTCAGTGTCCTTTATTCGCAATGGCACATCAAAGCATGGGCAGAATGTACCTGTGCTAAAATGCACTGCTGTTCACCACAATGCCATTTCATTTTGAAAGGGCTGCCTACTGAAGCATGCAAAAATACATCTCAATTCACAAAATGCATGTGTTTCAGCACAGTGCGTCCTTGTGTAATGACCCTCTATGTATCAGATCCGGTACCCTCTCTCCTTGTATATGCATGCCCTTCTATGATGCCTATGACTTTGCCTTTATATCTTCCCGGCCTATAACCTATTAGCCTGCATCTGTATATTATCTCTCTCTCCCTTTTTTTTTTAAATTTACAACAGAAACTTATACAATAGAAAAACACTTGCAACTCCAAACAGAAGTGGAAAAGAGCAAACAGGTGGCGCAAACACCTAGTGCATTATCCACAGTTTATTCAAAATGCATCCCCAACACATCATCCATAGGCCATCATTTGCTCTGATCCCCTAGCCTTCCTTTGGCAATTGATTCCTGGAGCGCTGGAGAGTACACACTGTTGTCTGCTTTGGTCCAAACAGAAGTGGGTTGCTACTACCTGTCAAATGTATTAGGCTTAAGTATATAAGCTCACCGTGCCCAGCTAGCAGTCTCCATCTGCTTATAAGTACAAGTCTAATTCCAAAAATGCTGGCAACAGGTAAATACAAAAATCTTCTTTATTGCATAAAGGAGTAAAAATATTCCATGGCAAACGTACGCTAACGCGTTTCAATCTAAACACAGACCTTATTCAAAGCTAGTTATATAAAAGAATAACAAAACCAATACATAGAGTGGAACATGGCTGCCCAATTCACCATCTGTAATCAGATCAAATAACTACATCTGTAGATGCAGGGGACGGGCTGAGCTAACGTGCACCACTATCCATATAACACACCCAGTAAACAGCATAACTCACAATAAATGTGGCTGAACAGCCACTCACTAAGATGGCCGTCGGACCTTCGTGAGGCGACATGACGTCACGGCGTACTGCTCCTTCTTGACGCATTTCGTGCGCAGACATGTTATCAAAAAGGGTGTGCCTACACGCCGGAAGTCAATTGAAGGTTTTAAATAACCCATGAGGCAAGCAGATCCACTAGGTATCAATTGGTCTTCAACAAAATAGCTCCCGCCTCTGTGCGTGCGCCTCGTGGGCTATTTAAGGCCTTCAATGAGCACCTTCTTTTTTGGCTCTATTTTGAGCTAATGATTCCCACAACCCAAGTGGAATTGCGGTTGCAGAGGAGTCTCATATCCAGAGGAGGGATCCTTTCCCACGCTTTCTGTCTGGTCCATTTAAAGGGGGCTTCCTACAGATTCTTGTTCAACATATTGCGCTTTAATTATGCGCATCTGGTGAGTTCGCATTTTTATCAATCTCCTGCACGGATAAAGCCACATGGAATAATTTGATACCTCCTGTGCAATAGGACCTGTTTGCAACACTGTATGCTGACCCGATTGTGTCATGCCTTCACTACCTTATGAATGCTCTTTGCTTTAACACTTTCACAGTTGCACTTATTTTATTACGCCAATCATAGCGCTTCATCCACCTATATTTGCTAACGTGCACCACTATCCATATAATACACCCAGTGAATATCATAACTCACAATAAACACTTTTATAACCACAGGGAAAAACATACACAAATGTATCAAATCAAATCTGACATTTGGAAGTTATAAAAGTAATACTTTGCATATATGTCTGAAGACTGCTAGAGTGAATAAAGTGCAAGATCAACCCAGATGCAGATCAACATACCACCTGAGGCTTAACCCCAAAGGTGATCTGGTCTGCAACCTGTGGATCCACCATGCTTTTCTCTGTAATAATTTACGATGCCTATCCCCCCCTCTTGCGGATACATAAACTCTCTCAATGCCACAAAAATGAAAAAAATAACATCTCCTCCATGAACTTGAAAATGTTGTGAGATATTAGAAATCTGTTTTGCTTGTGGGTTAATGGAATCACAAAAATGTTCTCCAATGTGGGTTCTAAGACAGCGTATGGTGCAGGAGCGGACTGACCATTGGAAACTCGGGCACTGCCCGAGGGCCCGGGGTCAGTAGGGGGCCCCATGAGATGCCCCTGGTACCTTTTTCATAGGCTTTTTTGAGTTTGGGCAAGGACACAGGGGCCCCATGATCCCCTATTGCCCAGGGGCTCCATGAGTTGTCAGTCCACCCCTGGTATAGTGCATCCCACATACTGCAGTCGACAAGATGTGCAGCATATGAGGTACACCACAATTTATAAAATTTCTAATCATAAAAGTTTCACCGGTATTAAGGGACTCAAAACTTTTGGCACAAAGATTCGACAAGCAATATCTGCATGTTTTAACACCACAGGCATAATAGCCCGTGCAGGAAAGCCAGGTAGAAGATTTAGTTTTAGAACTAAAATAACAAGTGTAGGAGCTCTCCGACTTGAAAATCTGTAACCATGCTGTAATACAGCATGTATGTCCTTATTTGCATATAGAATCGGTAAATTCTTCTTAATAATATTAACAATAGACTGATATTCTTTTGAAAAAGTAGTCAGTCTACTTCCCCGATTCTCTTGTCTAGATAAGTCAAACACTCTTGTTCTGTATGTTACATTCTTCCAAAAGATGTGCCCGATCTCTAGCTTCAGCAATCCTCCTGCCTTGTTCTATGCACCAGTTGGGGAAACCCCTAGCTAACAGTCTATTCTGAATAATTTCTGATTCCTTATCAAAAAGTACACAATCTGATCAGTTCCTTCATGCCCAAACAAACCATCCAACTGGCATAGCCTTAATTGTATGAAACAGATGACAACTTGTGGCAAACAAAGTGGAATTATCTGCACAGGACTGCCTGAAAGTTGCCGTGGCAACAGAGCTAGTGATATGATCACTCTGTAGAGTGATATCCAAAAAAATCTATAGATGTGGCATGAAAATGATAAGAAAACTCAAGATTAAATTAATTATTATTTAAATGGGCCACAAAATCAGTTAATATTGGAATGTCACCATCCCATATAACCAGGACATCATCTATACAGCGACCAAACCAACTCATGGGGCCCCCGGGCAATAGGGGATCATGGGGCCCCTGTGTCCTTGCCCAAACTCAAAAAAGCCTATGAAAAAGGTACCAGGGGCATCTCATGGGGCCCCCTACTGACCCTGGGCCCTCGGACAGTGCCCAAGTTTCCAAATGGTCAGTCCGCCTCTGGACCAAACCAATGCAGATGTTATTATTACTAGCTCACCCCATCTCCTGCATCTACAAATGTAGTCATTTGATCCAATTACGGATGGTGGGTTGGGCAGCCTTGTTCCTCTCTATATACTGGTTTTGTTATTTTTGATATAACTAGCTGTAAATAAGGTCTGTTTTTAGACTGAAATGCATTAGCGTAAGTTTGCCATGCACTATTTTTACTCCTTTATGCAATAAAGAAGATTTTTGAATTTACCTGTTGCCAACATTTTTGGAATTGGACAATAGGAAAACAGTTTTAAGACATAATATTGGTGGATGAAGCGCTACGATTGGCACAATAAAGTAAGTGCAACTGTGAAAGTCTTAAAGCAAAGAGTTTTCATAAGGTAGTGAAGGCATGACACAATCGGGTCAACATACAGTGTTGTAAATAGGTCTTGTTGCACAGGTGGTATCAAATTATTCTATGTGGGCCTTATCCGTTCGGGAGATTGATAAAAATGTGCACTCACCAGATGCACATAATTAAAGCGCAATATGTTGAACAAGAATCTGCAGGAAGCCCCCTTTAAATGGACCAGGCAGACAGCTCCTCTGGATATGAGACTCTCTGCAACCGCAATTCCACTGGGGTCGTGGGAATCATTAGCTCAAAATAGAACCAAAAAAGAATGTGCTCATAGTGTAGTGATATTTCCAATTTATTAGGTAAAAAAGTGTTATATAAATCTTCTAAGTGGAATACAGCAAAAATTTCAGCATAAAATCAATGAGGCGAGCAGATCTACTAGGTATCAATTGGTCTTCAACAAAATAGCTCCCACCTCTGTGCGTGCTCCTTGTGGGCTATTTAAGGCCTTCAATGAGCACCTTTTTTTTTGGCTCTATTTTGAGCTAATGATTCCCACAACCTCAGTGGAATTGCGGTTGCAGAGGAGTCTCATATCCAGAGGAGGGATCCTTTCCCACGCTGTCTGTCTGGTCCATTTAAAGGGGGCTTCCTGCAGATTCTTGTTCAACATATTGAGCTTTATTATGCGCATCTGGTGAGTTCGCATTTTTATCAATCTCCTGCATGGATAAAGCCACATTGCTTTAAGACTTTCACAGTTGCACTAACTTTATTGTGCCAATCATAGTATTTCATCCACCTATATTTGCTATCATTAATATCAATTATTGATTTACTATTATCATCACCAACAATTATTCATTATTTAATATATTTTTTCAGTTTTACACTGTGTAATTTTTTTAGTGCTGCACTGGTTCCTTTTTGTGTTATATGTAAGGCCTAGGGTTCCTTTTTTAGTGCAATTGCGGCTGATTTAATTGGATCTCTGAGTGCTCGCTGTTTCTTTGTCAGTTTTAAGACATAAGTGGCATAGATAACATACCTGGATTAGCATGTTCTTCTGATAATATACTATGCATTAAAAAAGAAGAAAAACCTACATCAGAACCTCTAGATTTGCAGCCTATCTTATACTCGCAGACCTTTAGAAAGGGTTATTTGAAAATGTGTCAACAGCAATTATCTGTTACACCCAGTACACCTGTGCTGCATGAAATGTCTATGGGCCCATTCACACTGTTGCACGTGTGCATAACTCACATTGTGCATAAGTGCATAACTCACATTGGCCAGCCATTCAAGCAGACCCACAAAGTCTCAAATTCTCCATTGGCACAGTATGGTGAGTGAGCACTGGCATAAAGTGTTTTACATAATCACAAGGTGAAAATAAAAGGTAAAATACTGGAAAAAAGGAATTCAGACGCCACATCTAATGTATGGTAAGCTAAAACATATATATTTTTTTATCTTGGGTTTAGATATATTTTAACTGTTGATGTCCAGATTGTACAGGTATCAAGAAGAAATGATGAGTGTAGATCCAGTTCCTGGGGCACTACATAGGAGCCCAATGGCAAATTTAAACTACAGCTGTATATTGTAAGCAAAATGCACTGCAATAAGAAAAAAAACGTGCATTGAAAGAAAGAATACAATATTTATTTCAGGTACTTATATAGCGCCGTCAATTTATGCAGCATATATATTGTACATTCATATCAGTCCCTAACCCTCAAGGAGCATCTAATTTAAAGCCCCTAACTCACATTCATACATACACAGGCCAATTTACACAGGAACCAATTCACCTACCAGCATGTCTTTGGAGTGTGGGAGGAAACTGGGGTACCTGGAAGAAACCCATGCAGGCACAGGGAGAACATGCAAACTCTAGACAGGTGGTGCTGTGGCTGGGATTTGAACCAATGACCCTAGTACTGCCAGGTGGAAGTGCTAACCATTTAGCCAATATGCTGAAATAACTTTTTTGTTTAGTCTTTATAATGTATGCGCCTAGTGATCAACCAAATAGGCAAGGTAAGGAGAGTACAGAGATAGAAGCGTCCATTTAAAAAGGCACAATTTAAAACACCTTTACACATTGCAGCTATTAATTGCATATAAATCTCTCAGAAAAGAACATGTTTATTATCATTTGTACTTCTCTGACTGACAAGTGAATGCAATACAGAGTGAATGCCCACCATTAGTGTTGACAGTGAGGAGACATTTGATCTGTGCCCATGATTTCACAAGATCGTGGGCTCAAATACAGATCACAATGAAAAGAAAAAGAACAAAATAACAGTAATAAAAATAAAATGTACTTTAATAAAAGACCTATTGGAGAAGCACTATTTATAAATATATGTGTTTTTACTTATATCAAGACATTCCTGTGACAGTTGTAACCAATTGTATTTATGACCATACGTTGTATAAAAGCCCCAGATACAAATGCCATATATATGCATAATGGAATATACTCAAATTAGACCCCAGGGAATCCCATAAGCACTAGGACATTTTTAGGGGGTAAAGGTCCCTGACTTTCAGAGGCCCTGATTTGTAGAAATATACAGTATACATAGAGGGCCATTCTCTAAAACCACCATGTTTAGCTAGATAGGTTTTTGTCTTTTTTATTAGAGAGAGGCTGAGTAGCAGCCTGGGATGAGTCAGCCTGGGAGTGAGACAGGAGTTCACCTCAGAACAGGCTGGGAGGTTCTACAGGTCAGGGTTTCTGTAGCCCTCCCAACCTTCCATAAACTTGCAGAACTTTCTGAAAGAGGGGTGGAAGAGGGGAGGAGGCCCAGATCTGCATGTTTGAGGGACCTTGGCCAATCCCCTGGCAGAAGGATGGTCATGGTGGCCGGGACAACCCTCAAAAAATCTCCACTGTACCACCGTCTCCTGGGGAGGACAACCTTTATGCCAGGGAAGGAGCCAGCCCAGTGTAAAGCCTGAAGGCAGCCACCAACCCACCACAACCCACACCTGACAGGAGGGTGTGAGTACTCCTACACCCCGTGGGCCAGATATAAGGGGTGAGGGCAGGAAGGTGCAAGACTCAACTAGTTCTCACCAGGGACTACTTCATTGTAAACTCTTGGGACCCCTTGCCCAGGGCAGGGCAGTACAGGAGGGATCAGCCAAATTTCGATCCATCTATGGCTGTTCCCTTTCTAGAGAAGATTATTATTATTATACAGTATTTATAAAGCGCCAATAGTTTGCTCAGCGCTGTATATTACAAAGGGGGACAGAACATGTGAAAGAACAATAAAAATACAATGCAAAACATGAGGGGATTGATGGCCCTGCTCTTTGGAGCTTACAATCTAGAAGGAAGGGGATGGTGGCACAGGAGGAGATAGCTGTGGGGGATGGAGTGGTAGGAAGAGTGGAGGAGGTCGGCAAGTTAGCAAGGGGTGGGGTAGGCTTCCCTGAAGAGATGGATTTTCAGGGTGCGCCTAAAAGAGAGGACAATACCAATACAATGCAAAACATGAGGGGATCGAGGGCCCTACCCTTTCGAGCTTACAATCTAGGAGATGATCTAATGATTGACATTTTCAAACCAGCTTGTTGGAAAATTTTCCTTCCAACTGCAGTCAGGATACAATAACACGGTAGAGAGGATTACTCCATCCACCTTGCTTGTGTAAATAGGGGAATCCATTTTGGCTGACTGAAAACACTGTTCCATATATGCCCAGCCTAAAGCGGTCAATTGATGAGTCTTTTTTTCATTCAACCAGCAGGTTGAGCATAAAAAAGTGACTCAGTTATCCCATTCTCAGTTCATGTGGATGGGGAAATGCTCCCAGCTCAGATATTGTATTCTGACAGTAGGGAGACTTCCCCACCTTCAGAACACACTGGTCAGAGCTGCCAGCTATAGCTAATGGCACTAATCGAGGGGGAAAACCTGAAAAGCTGGTTGTACAGAAGTTGATCGGTAGATTGACTTCTATACAACCAGCCTGCTCATACATGGATCGCAATTCGGCCAGTCCCTGCTGAACTAGCTGAATTTCGATCCTTGTGTGATGGCTTTAGACATGTTTCATTTAGTACAGGATCAGTACTTTGTGTACTACAGCATCGATTGCTGTTTAGTTATGTAGAGGTAACACTTTTTATAGGTCTCCTAGCACAGGATAGGCTTTTAAGGCAGAGGTTCTACTGTATGTTTTCTTCCATAATGCACTTCCAATATGTTAATAGAAGAACATGCCAATCCAAGTATGTTTTTCATGGTATCTGGGTCATAAAACCAGTTTTCTATTGTATACACTTCTGTTCTAGACAATAAAAAATACATATAGTTTGGCTATTAGACAGTGATAATATGTTTTGAAATTCTGTGACAACAATTTATTTTTTTGTTTAACATATGAATGCAATTTTCACCTCATATTCTTATTAGGCGTTTAATGCAGACATGTAGATTAGATTATAACAGAGTGCATACAAGAGCAAATCTACTAATTAAATGTTGATTGTACAATGTTCTACACAGTAACTGTTCAAAACAGTACTAATGAGCATGAGTTATAGTTTT